AAATAGACTAGTTTTGACGAAAAGAACAGCTAATGAAATACTCGGGCGAACAACAAAAAGACTTAAAAATATAGTAGTTGCTCGACGTGCTGAAAAGCTCGGGAGAGCGAGAGAGACATGCTACATAAAAGCTCGCATAGTTACCGCTGAAAGGAACGATGGAGATCGACATGAAAAGAGCTAGAGATCGAGTCTGGGAGATTTAATTAGCATGGACCACAAGGTCCTCTCTCTCTCCTTCTTGCTCTTGCTCTTTCGAGTGCTATATAACACAGAAAGCGCGCGCAGTTGAAGCGTTAAAGTTAAATGACGGCTGGCAGCTGCTTATTCTTCCCGACAACTGATGCTTGATAATCTCTCTGGTCTTCGCTTACGTACGTACGAGTATATATACATGTATACACGTGCATGCGTACGTCTATACATTCCCAGAGGCAGTACCTACATGTACAGCCAATTCGCCCTCGATGAAGCAACTCAGCTTGCAACCACCACCGCTACGGGGGCTTAATTGTACTTAATTCGATATCACCGTCTCGCGAGTGAGCACGCGGATTCGTTCAGCTCCCTATTTTTCTTTTTCTTTATTTCTTATTCGTCATTTATAAATAGTGACTTTTTTTGTATTCCATGCGCCTCGAATACGATATAATTTCGACGCGAAACTATTGCTCGCGCATTCGGAATGATTAATAATCATGGGGAAAGCTTTTGATTGCGTTAATCTGGCATGAGAATCAATTGGCGATTTATCGTGGATTGTTTTGGTGCGAAAGGACATTTATTTATACGTGTTATTTGGTGAATTGATAAAGATATGATGGCAAGCAGTTGGAAGTATGAAATGGTTGTTGATCGAACGGTACAACCCTTTTTTTGACAGTAAAATATATTTTTTCCGACAAAATTGATAATAACAAAACACTCGACATTTTTAAAATCAAGTTGTGGATAAAAATTTATTATGAATAATAAAAATGAACTTACAATACCTAAGCCATCTAATAGGCGAAGATCAACGAATTGCCAGCTTCTCTTCTCTTTACATCATCCATTCTATTCATTCATCTCCCTCTTCCTCTAAAGGCTCTTCGTTGGTTGGTCGTATGATAGAGAGTTTAATATATAGGTGAAACTCGCGGATGATGTGCTTTGTGATTGAAAGAGAGTGCGCGGATATGTATGGTTGTGGGGTTGAACGGGTGGACATCGTTCAACACGATGTGTGCGAGGGGTGGGAGGGAAAGCGAAAGAGAAAGAGAGAGATGAAGAGGGAGGAGAGAGAAATAGAGAATGTCAAGTGGACATTGTTGACGGTGACAATGCTGCTGAAATTGTCGGAGAACAAAGAGGTCTTATGATGACGCTGCTGGCCGACGTGCCACTGCCCACAAGAACGAACGGATTGAGCCTGGCGCGAACTATGCCTCCGATTATGCACTCGTTTTCTCTCTCGGAAACTGTCGTTGACGGTAATAATTTGGATACAGTCAAAAATCAAAAGAATTCGAGACCAACTACAAGTTTTGTTAGCAAATACAATGACGCGAAAGAATGTGATACATTACATTCAATCGACACGTTGTTTTGATTGGAAAATGTTCTTGAAAAATATATATTAAAAAAATTTACTGAGGCCTAAAAATGTTTGAGGCGGTCATTCATTCAGAAATATGATCGGATGGATAATATTTTTCGAAAAAAAGATGGTTGAAATAACATTATAAAATAGGAAGTTAAAATTATGCACCTGCAAAATAAAACGAAAAAAATATTCTTTACTTTTAAATACAGTCGGTCAAAAAGAGTGCGAATGGTAAGTAATTTTGCACAACCGGTTATCAAGTTGGCGTCATTCAACAATTTACTTGACAAAAAAACACTAGAGGGAGCTACCGTCATTGGCGTCATTTGCATAATTTATGAAAATCACCATCGAGTAAATAAATATATGAAAGCTGAATTCATAAACAAATGATAATTTTTTTATCGTCATTAAGATAAAATACTGATAAAAATCGAATTTTAAGGTATTAAAAATAACCTTTCTTTTACATAAAAAAATTTCTTTTAAAATGCGAACCGAGAGTTCGAATTTCTCCGAACATAATTCCCAATGGTTTTTGACACAAGACCGTAGGAATTTCCAAATGATACCTTTCCAAAACAAAATAATCCAATATCGAGAGATGTGAAAGTAACTCGAATTAAAAATTATGAAAAAGTAAAAAACAAAGCTGATAGGATATATCAATATATTACTATATATCAGGGTTAAGGCACAATATTTGAGATAAGATTTACATGATACTTTATTGAATGAATCATTTGCGTTCATTTGTAAATGTATTCTTTACACATTTAGACTACGGTTTATATCTGGAATTTATGATTCACTGCTATTTGATGTATCGATTAATTAATTCTTATTGTTTACAAATGAACAATAATATTCTTACGTAATAAAAAAATGTAATAATATACGCTCTAAAATTGTGAGCTGTGATAATGAGAGCAGTGACTATATCGTGATGAATCGATCATCCACAAATTTGGGAGGCGTGAGAGTTTTTCGCAATTTCTCAAGACAAAATTTACTTGCAAAGTCATATCTCTTACGCCACGAGGAAAAATAAAAGAAAACTAAATATAATTAAAACCAAGCAGAAGGTTGCGAAAAAGTTGATTTTGAATGCAATATATTATCCGCGCCGTAAAATATTTCACAAAATTATAGTGTCGAGTATTTTACAAAATTTTTTATAATTACATGCAAGTCGCCTCGATGCGTTACCTCTCGTTTCGCTTAGTTCAATAAAAGACTATTTAAACGTTTGAGCGTATATATTTATGTATATATAATAACGATAATGACTCGCGGGTCTTAACTCTCTGCAGATACTCTCTTCCGCCAGTGAAAGGTTACAGAATATGTTCAGACTTCGTAGACACTTTTATATACATAACACTTGATTTGTTAGATTATCAATATGGCTCGAGGGCGTTAATAGTACGTAGGATTCATAATACATTTCATATTACAGTGGTAAAAAAAAGTCTGAAGTGAATCACCCGATTATGTGTGCATTTTCCCGCTAACTTTAGAATGTACATATTGAATGAACTTGAAGCAACTATTTTGTGCTTTACTACCTCTATTGAACGAAAAGCAGCATTGGGAATTTTTTATTAAAATTAAAAATTTGAATCTTCCCCATATTTCTCCCAAGTGTATGTATTTTTTTCATTTGTGCGCAAGAAACGCGTAAGAATAGGCATAACAGCGAGAAATGTAATGGTCGTACATAGATAGGAGAGAACAACCTCGAAATAATTGGGATTGTGTATATCCCAGCACAGATCCATAAGACATTTCTACCGATACGTGATGTCTCACGCGACTTTCGTAATTCTAATGGTATTGGGATATTTCACTGTGGATGCAGCGGCGGCGATATACCAACTTGGTGAATGTGTGTATGTGTGTATGAATATGTCTGTGTACATAAAGGTAGTTGATGTACGCATGCAACTTGTAGTTTAAAAGTGAAAAAAAAAAAATAAATAAATAAAATAGCAGCGAGAAATCGTGAGCGCGTACGCGGCAATTGCGCAATGGAGTGAGCCTCGCAGATGGCTTGCATCGAGAGGATATGCATCTATTTTGTATGCACGAGCGAGCGCGTTTAGGCACAAACTCATGGAGATCGATTTTGAAAGATTACGCAGCTACGCTTCGGAGATTTCTTATCGTAGATTTCGTTAATATTGTTGCAAACACATACGAGAGTATGAACTCACACACATTTGAACGTACTCTTAATAAGCAGTGAAAATAATCGTCACCGATTCTACTAAAGTGGAAAATTATAACACTCTTTGTTATTTGACTTTATCTTATCATACTTGGCTAAATCTGCGAAAAAATAAGACAAAATTTTTTTCCCTGTTGCTCCGCACAAAAATACAATCAATGCGCGCTCGTTAGCGCGTAACCGGTGCTTGTAAGTTATTAAGTGAAACGCAGTTGGCATCTATGAGTTCAATGTATTTATGGGTGCAAAGTATAATAAAATCAATATCTACAGAGTTTCGCAATGAAATAAAGAATAAGACACAATGTAAGCGGCCACATGTGAAAGTTAGTTGTTTCGAAGGAATCGAAAGATTAAGGAACCTTCGAAGCAATTAACGATCATTCGTACAAGAAAAAAAAAGAATACGATTTTAACGAACATTTTTTGTCGCCGAGACACAGGCATGTAAAATACTTTCACGTTTATAACTAACGTAGTGTAAGTCAACATATATAAACATTTTCGATCGAAAGAGAAGATGGTATTGCTGGTCAAGTCCAGTCCAATAATGCACACGCACTTTACGCGTATGAGCGCGTACACGTATGCCCACACTCGCACTCACAGCAGGGCGACTTTCACTGAGAAGCAGACGCGAGAGAACGAGGATATTTTTTTTGCGTTACTGATGATGATGATGCTGTGCGTTCCGCTGTATCATCCACTCAAATTTTATCGTCAACCAATCATCGAGCCACCAAATGGAAATATTGACACTTCTACAGTTTCAGGCATGCATTGGCTTTTTCTTCTCTTGAAACACCTTCCCTTTTTTACATCCTTCCTTCATTATTCTTGTGGCAAAAAATTCCTGCAGCTCGTTATGCAAGAGAACTTCACGAAAAGAAAAATAACATCCAATTCTCTTAAATCAAGGCAGAGTGTTTACATTTAAGTACATTATAATTAACGGGTGTTAAGTATGATGGATTCGTTAAAATAAAATGCCTTGGTAATTGATGATTGGGTATATTGCGTGAAAAAATAACCCATCATTACTCACTTAATTGAAACACGTTGTCACGTGCTACCAATTTGGCTTCGTGTGCGTTTTACGAAGTGAAAAAATTATTAATTTAGACATGAAAAATTAACGGAAACGAGTATCAAAACTATTCACAAAAATTTGGAAATTCGTAGACATTAAAATTAAAATAAACTTTTTTATTAGTATCAAATCTGGTTCCAGCAGAGAAAATCAACAGTCGCCAGTCACTTAAAAATAATCACAATATAAAAATGTATATTAATCGACCAAGTCCTGCAGATCAGTCATATGCGCGAGATGTTCCGGCTCAATCTCTTCCATTTCTTCAGCATCGCTCAAATTGACCTCCCTTTTAATTATGCAGCCGGACACATTCGGAAGTTTTCCATTTTTGCAGTTCTTCAGCCAGCCCTTCCAATGTTTAAAGCCTTCCCGTTGAGCAATAATCTTGGCGCACGCAATGTCATCTTGAATATCGTCGTTGAGGAAATCATTACAATTTTTGTTACAAACTCCACCGGGCCGGAAAGCACTGCACCACTTGTCACTGGTGATTTGGAAGACTCCGTAAGCGTAGCTGGCTTTGTGACCCGGGCCTACTTTTTTTCTCGTATCCAAACCACTTTCACTTTTCATGATGCACACATAGTGGCTTATAAAGCTTCGCTCCACTCCACCGCGTACTAATTCCTTGGCCGCTTCGCATTCGGTTAGTATGCGAGCCGAGACTTGTTGCTGTGAGATCCAAAACGACGACAGGACCGCCAACAGCAATAGTGCCGTCGTCCTGATGCTCGACATGCTCTAAATCGAAATATTTCAAGGGTACATGTAATTAATACATACTTATAAAACGAAAATTCTTAGTTGTAAGATATACAGGATTCAACTGTTTTTCACTCTGTAAGCTATTCCAGTCTCGCGTTGAACACTTCGATAACATTCGATAGCACTTGAACGAATAATGAATAATTTATTGAACTCGGATAATTATACATTATTGCAGAAACTGGGAATACCGGAAAATTGACGTTTGACATAAATCAACGGTTAACCACAATTGCGAATTCTAATAGGATATATTATTAGTAAATTCTAACAAAAAAATAAAAATAAAACTACGTTTGAGACGAAAACCATCTCAAAATTAAAATTAGTATGATGTTATCAAAATAGGAATGAAAATAACAAGTCAAAAGTAAATAGGCAAAATGCGTATTCAATGCAATCGCCTCGAGAACTTACTTACTATATTGAAATTACAAACGCACACCAACGGCTGCGGACGTTATAGAAACTAGCAACGGGGATAATAAAAAGCGACGAAGCGCAATTATGAACGTCGCGCGACACTTGTTACTGACTGCGGACGTAAAACATTTTATACGTAGCTATTCATTATAATATCAAGTGTACAAAAGCTAAAACGCAGCTAGCGATTGCTACCGGCGCAGATAAGAAGCGCCAAGAAAAGCGCGAAATACACACTAAAATTTAAAGTCAAGAGTTACGATGATATGAGAAGCAGTGCGAGTGATTTTGAGTACACAGATGTGTTTAGAACTAAAATATTATTTATGATATCATTTTGTCCATAAAGGTGGATTTGCAATAGCATAATTATTTCATGAAAATTGAATCTGATAGGGTTAACAAAATGAAAATGATTACTCGATGATGCTTGATAATAATGAAAAATCTAGAAATGAAGACTCATAATTTTATTTAAAAAAAAAACAATCATTTATTTTATGCCAATGTGCATAAAACGTAGACGATTTTTTTCTGCTTGAAAAAAGTATTAAGTAAGTTTAAAGTTATGTTTGTATCTAGTTGCGTAATTATTCAACTCGTATTTCGGCAACCTTCACATTAATATGACCTCTTTACGTGCGTCAATTACCGAGTGCATCAGTAATAAAATCACGTACCGAGCCAAAAAGTGCAGAAAAGAATGATTAATCACTACGACTACTCGAGAATTTTACCGCGATCAGTACTTACATCGATGAACAAAAGTTATCATCGGTTATGAATCATATCGTGTAAAAGACTACTATACTTGAGTCGGTGAATAAAAATAGTTTTTGCTCGCCAGACGTTGGCAGCAGTATTTTCAAACGTGAGATTAGAAGAAAAACATGTATGTATACCACTTGGGCATTATTACATGCTGTTAAGTAATTTCTCAACAGCTTTCGTGCTCGCGTGCAATATGAATTTCAGTGCCTCGTAAAAAGTCTCTCTTGTCGACGTGAAAATCAAAATAAGGCCAGTAGCATGAAAAAATGGGCTCTTTGTTTTACAGAACGTGCCCACATACACACTCGTAATGTAAGCGTGAGGATAATTATCACCGCGGGGATGAACCAACACGAGGCATGACGCATCGCACGCGCAACTTTTCAAATCCTTATAGTTAAAGGACCCCACTGCGAATTTCACTGAGTGTATTTTCGAGCGATAAACCTTTTATTTGCCCCAGCAGAAACGCGTTATTCAAATAAAGTAAACTCGATACATTACTCGTTTCGATGTAAAATTATTGACGTCCCTTCTACTTTCTTTCTCATGCCAGCTCTACACAATGCTCCTTTCTCTTTCATTCTCAAATGCCACCTTTCGCCTTTATGACACTCATCGTTTTTCTGCCGGCGATTAAAGATTTTTTATCGGCCATAAGTGTTATAAGATGATCTGTTTATTTACGATTTTAATTTGCATAACTTACATTTTTAAAAGTATTCGGTAATTTAACTTTTATCGCGTTGACTTTTAATATTTTTGATGTATTGTACTCGTGACATTTATTGCTAAGGGATTAAATTTTAATTGAATTTTTTCACTCAAAAATTTATTTATTTATGAACCGTTCATGTAGATCAAAGCAAGTTCAATCTATTTTTTATGTGCAAAGATTCATTTTAAAAACCCCTGAGTGCGATTTACTGATTAAAATTTACGTCATCGGTCGAGATTTAAAAAAGCTATAATTTTTTTATTTTCATACCCAAATAACTAATCCCGACATCAATGCATGCAGTTTCGTGTCTTTTGCATGCACAAAAAATCATAACACATATTTCCTTAGAAATAACTGTAATTCCTTATCTGTGTAGGCATCCTGTCAGCGAAAAGTGTCACCTACTAGAACACCGAAACGAATTTTTATCCAGCTTCGACGATGACGTGACAACACGTCGACTAATTCACTGCATCGCGCGGCAACAATCCGGAAGCGTTTCTCTCGGCGACTTTTCACATAGATGCGACTGACTGCCACGATAATTACCAACATACATGAAAACGAGGATAGCTCGGCTTCACCTTCGCTCTCCGTGTTGTCGCTGCTGTTGCGGCAATTATTTACGAGCGAGATTTATTGGCAAGCGCGAGCGCCTGCTGTGTATCCTAGCTCAATAAAACGCAACAATTGTTCGACAACCATTTTCGATTAATATTTCAAAGCATATTATATTGGAAGGAGCTTAAAAGTAAAATGATCAGCTATGTCGACGATTGAGAGTATAAATGGTTATTTCGTCTATCAAACTCGATCGATTGATCGATTGATGAATAATAAACTGGTCGATTGCCCAAAGAGCTAATTCAATTTTTTTCACGATATTTCTAAATAAACGGCTTGTAGCTGCTTGGAGCTTCATGTTTGACAAAGAGAAAATTAACCACCGGAACTCGTTCGTTGAATAGGGTTATCGCATTTTTATTTTGTAATACAATTTTCAATGAGACAATCATTTGAAACCCATTAAATTTTAATTGCGAAATTGAAATTATGAATGTGATAAAGTTAATTCAATTTTACAATAATGTTTGAAAATCTATGTAAAATAGGCGTACCATCAATCATGATAGCTCATCAAATTTCTCTTAGATGTACAAATAAATAATATTCGCGACGGAACATCACAATTTGTAGAAAAAAAATGTGAGCCAAGGAGTTCAAGATATCCACAGCCACTTGGTCAATTCTTTAAAGACAAAAAATACGCAACGATATAAAAGAAAATACTGATGTACCTCTATTTAGGTCTAGCTTGCATTTGTTAAGCGACAAAAAAAGTGACTCAACAAGTTGAAGAGAATCCTGAATTGTAAACAAGAACTTTCGGAATGAGACAACAAAATATAATCTAGATGGATTGTGTCAGTAACAGAATTGGTAATTAAAACGAGCGAGCGACAAGAGCGGAGACCAAAAGCCGTACGCTGTGCAATGAAGGAACGAATAAACGAACGAACGGACGATGAGAAGCATCGATTTGCAAGCACACAATAACTGACCATGTCGTTTTTTCGCCGTAGAATCATCCTCACTTGCGCAACCAAGCGTATACACATAGAGCTGTGTAAATGCAGGAGCTGCAGCAAGTATAGAGTACGTATGTGTACGCGTACCTATGCTCCGTTTCTCATAAGCGATTTGCGTAATCCACGAGTAGTGCTGCCTGCCGCCTCGGCTCGAGAGCGGGATGGTCGGCAATGCACAGCCGCAGGATCTCTCGCTTGCGAGACTTTCGCAGCGGCTTCCGCGTGTGACGCAAGACTTTTATTAAGGGATATATCGGTTTGTAAATGGATTCGCGCTATCTCCTCGGACCGTGCGAGTCGAGTGCTCGAAAGCCGCAGCTGATAATCATGATCACGCGAAATTTCGATGTTTCTTTCATTAAAAACTACGTTATTTGCCATACAATCCAATGACTTGGCCGTCTTTCGCCGGTATATCTGTTCAAGAAATTGCAATTCGTTCAAGCACAAATGAAAGTAATGAGCTTTTTTACTCAATGATTACAATCTTGAACTTGATACAATACTTGATGAACCTGAATAATTCTGGCAGTACTAGTCTCAATCACATACACTTATTTAATTCAAAATTTAGATTGTAAATAAAAGTAATTAAAAAATCATTATCCCGTAAACGTACATTTTTCTAAATGATGCGTGGAAATTTGAAGAGCTTGTAATTATGACGCTCTTAAAAAATTAGTAAAAAGGCAATTACTAGTAAATAAAATGAAAACATTTTTGTAAATTAACAAAATTGAGTCTATTTATCCAAAATTTAAAAAAATGCATTCGGCAAAGGAAAATTAAATTGAATTAAAGCGTATAGCGCGCTAGGTCTAGGAAATGGCCAGGTTAAAGTCAACGTTTGGCAATAAAAATTTGATGCATCTCCCAAGAAAAAAGGAAAAAAAGAAGGCATCAAAAAAGTTAAGAGCTTTCGTTGCGCCGATGTGGCATTTTTGAAACCTGCACAAGAAAGAAAGAGAGAAAGAAAGAAAGAGAGAGAGAGAGAGAGAGAGAGAGAGAGAGAGAGAGAGGTGCGTCGGCAAGCCATCAATGAATAAAGGAGCAGAGAGAGAGGAAAAAGGCGTCTCTCACCGTAGTCTACAGCAGAGGAGGTTGCGGATCCCCCACTGGGTATCTTCTCGGTGGACCATCGAGTATAAAATAACCGGGTGCAGCTTCGTCCAAGTCACAGAGCTGAGTGGCAACCGCAGCAGAAGTCAACATGAATCGTCTGATCGCGGTAAGCTAATTTTTTCTACTTTCTTTTTGTTCAAGATATACGCGCAACATTCGTTATCAAAGCTCAAGCTTTTTATTCATTGTCAAGTATTTTTCAATTCGCGTACATGCAGCAGCACGATTCAAAATTTTGTTTTGAGACTTATTCTATTTGGCAAAAAACATTTTAAGAACGAGGAACTTGTGATTATATTTCTTTTCATAACATAGAAAGTGGAAGTGAATTTTCAGCATAAAAATTAATTTTAGCAGTGTTTATAAGTGTTTGGAGAGTGTGATATAAACATAAATTTTCCCACTGCATGAAGACATAATTTTACGAAGTAAACAGTAATCTTATAAAATAGGCTACAAATGTCAACTTTCAGTAATGAAAATGTATTTTCATTTAGTTTTTCTTAAGCGTATCAGATGATTAGTGCGGAGTAGATACATAAGTCATAACTTTCACTAGCTATCGCGGATACGTTTGCACATACTGATTTATGCTTCTAAGCCCATTGGTTTCATGTTACGAAAGACACGTTAAATCAAGTTCACGTTCTGGAAGTTATTATTTTTCTCTCGACATGCTTAACAAGTTTTGATTCGTAAATCGAACACTTCGTCCTCTAATAAGATACTTTTTTTTTCAGTGTTTGGTTATTGGGATGACAGGGCTCGCCTTGGCAGAGCCTCCGTCAGGATATGGATACCCAAGACCTAGCGGAGGAGGCGGAGGTGGATTCGGAGGATTTGGAGGTGGCGGCGGTGGATACTCCGGTGGTGGCGGCAGCGGACTTATCGGTGGTGGTAGTTACACTCCAGTTTCTTCGGGTGGTTACCAATCTAGTGAAGGTGCCAACGTTGATCCACAACTTCTTGAACAATTGAAAGCCATCATCATCAAAGAAGAATCCAACAGTGGTGGAGCTGGCGGATATTCTGGAGGTGCTCCAAGTTCCAGTTACGGAGCTCCAAGTCTTGGAGGAGGAGGCGGCGGTGGCTATCCAAGTGGACCCCCAAGCTCGAGCTACGGAGCTCCCAGCCTCGGAGGAGGCGGCGGCGGCGGTGGATACCCTAGTGGACCCCCAAGCTCTAGCTACGGAGCCCCGAGTCTCGGAGGCGGTGGTGGTTACCCAAGTGGACCTCCAAGCTCGAGCTACGGAGCCCCCAACGTCGGCGGTGGCCGTGTCGTAGGAATTGAATTCGAGGGTATTCGTCAGGGTATCGAAGTCGCTCAGCTTCACCAAGCCAGCCAAGGGGGCGGTGGTGGCGGATACCCCAGCGGGCCCCCAAGCTCGAGCTATGGTGCACCAAGCAGGCCAAGTGGCAGCTACGGTGCTCCGTTCTAAGTTGCTGCGCAAGTGTCATCGACAAACCTGCTAAACGTTCGGAACTCGAGCGAATACTGGAAACTGGATGATAGTTAAGTTCTTCGTCGGCAAATATTGTAAAAAATCGACTAGCCTAAAGTTCATCAGCTCAACCGGAAGTTTGTCAGGTTTTTCAAGATGACTCAGCGTGTTCGAGAGTCACGCGATTTCGCGATGTTTAGTGAACAAAGAAAAGTGACCAAGATCAGATCATGTGATTGCGATTGTTCGCGGATTCGTAGACTCTTGTTGTTGAGTATATAAATACAAAAAATATAAAAAAAAACAACAACAAGAATATTCTGAAGTAAGAATTACACTCGAAAAAACATCTAGATTTCGAGAAGAAGAGCGTTTGGAGCATCGATATAATACAGTGGCAGGAGGAGTCGAGTACGTCGCGTTCACTAATAACGCATAACGAAACCAATGAATAAAAAAATTATTTTTCAACTACGGACGAGACAAAGTCAGGAGGAAGACCGAAGATACAGATCATGATAACAGCTACTATTATTATTTTTATAATTATTATTAATTTAATTTTTATATACATATATACGTGATGAAGCGCTTTGCACAAGCGCATTGTAAATATACGCAATGTTAAAACACACAGACCTACACAAGTATACACTCTTACACATCGCCACGATTCGGCGACGCACGGCATTGTCTCGAGAAAAACGAGATCTTCGAGGGTCTTTTTGCAGGAGGTGTGATCAAAAATTGACCTCGGATACGAGGCCCAGATCGTGGAAAGCAAAAGTGATCGACAAAGGGCAATGTCATGAGACAAATACACATTATCCCTCAAAAGAAAAATATTCATCAACACGTTTTACTTTTTTTATACATCTGTTTAATACCATGTTTGTTGTAATCTGATAATAATTTAATCACGCATTTTTGTACTTGTATAAAGGCTTGTCTTTTTATAGAAAACAATAAAAAAACCGTCGCCACCGTTAATTATTTTCTTTTTAATTATCATCTTTATCCCACGTAGAATAGTAAAAATTATAAAAAAAATAAATAAATAACAATGATTCTGAGAGCCACGAAACTACGCAAAAAATCGACTCAACGCAGACACTGCGGAGTCTTCCTCTTCCGGACGATTTCACCTATCTCTGAAGCTGGCATAACCCTCTTCATTCTTATCCCTCACTTATGTACAATGCAATGGCGTGCTTACGCTTTCTCCATTATCTTATAGCAGCTACACAACATGTAATGTATAATCCTTGCTTGCTACACGATGATGTGTACATGCTCACTTTCAGGCTGTAATTTTTGCCGTCCGTCTTTTTAAAGCAATGAGAAGCCAAAACACTTTTCTCTGGCGTCGCCTCTTATCGGATCAAACTGATAAATCTTTAGAGCTACATTTTCCTTGTCTCCCTCTTTCTCTTTCGCTTCTCGTGACCCCAGAGGCTAAAAATTTATTCTCGCTAGCGCATCCATACACACATAATACGCCTTTCTCTCGACACCACCGTCAGCAGCGTGTCCTTTCACTCGTAGAAGGCCCCTCCGGCTTTTTTTTATTATAATGTGCATAGTTTATATCTAAAGATATACGTGACGTCGGGTCTGGCTGTACATTAGACAAACCTCGCAACGAACTCTGCGAACATTATTATTATTAATAATATACACACAAACACAAGTTGGTGTGTATGATTACTAGGCACGTTGCAAGGATGCATCGAGCGTATAATGTGTGTGTGTATATACGTTCATGTGTAAGCCAAAGCTTGAGATATATTTATATTAAAGTAGAAGGAAAATTACGAAACAAATGCACGTGAGTGGTCAAGACTCAAGATTCAAAAGTGAATGTACGCCAATGTGACAAGGGGGAAAGGTTGCAGAAGCCGATGCAGGATAATGACGATACGAAGATGGATTAATGAGGAAAGTGCCGTCGCAGATGGTTCGAGCTGTGGGATTCGCGCGAGTGCCGTAACGCGTCGATTAGTGAATTCATAGAAATCGAAAGCTCGTATACCAACAGTCGTGCAAGTCTGCTCGCGCTCATGTAATATCATTTTTTTTTTCAAATTAAAATTGCGGAATATTTTTAAATGACTAAAATTATGAAAAATAGTTCCATTGATTATTCCACATTCTTATGTAAGCAAACGAGAACTACAACAGACTTGAGAAACTAGAAAAAGATAGTAAAATTAGTCGATATTACGATTTTGAATAAATGTACATCTAATGTTTATGAATAATTGAAATACTCTTATAATGTACATGGAAAGTGCAAATCTTTCTCATGATATAGGAAAAAACTTTTGGTTATAAAAATTTTTGTAGTTACAAAATATTGTCCAAAAAAAATTATTAAAGAAGATGACAATTTCTTTTGCCATTTTCAAATATTGTTCAAAAAGAAATTTCGTCAATATGTACATAAAATGAATGTAAAAAGCAAAATGACATAAATTTAATAGAAAATTACATTATGATACGGGTTTAAATGGCTAATAAAACATTTCTTAGTGAATTCAATTGTTTAAAATGATTAAAGTATAAAAAATGCATTCACTTATAAAAATCAATATTATTTAAAAATCAATTTCAATAAAAAATTGAAATAATATGAAATGCCAAGAAAAGTTTTTCAAATTGGATAATGGTTATAGGACTGCCAAACATTATGCTAATATGTTTCTTTTTAGTAATCTTTAGTTTTTTATATTTGTGTTCTACACAATTAATTTATTATAAAACATGATTTTTTAAAAATAGTTTTATTTTTCATGACAAAAGCAGTTGGTAGTCTCAAGTTTATCATAAATCCATACGTTTTTAGTAAATGAAAAACGCAAGGAAATTTAATATTTAATCATCCACTCGAGCAAGGATTATTGTAACATCACATTTCCCAAGAACTTTTTATATACATTGCTTTCAAACATTTGGACTTTCATCCAAAGATTAATATAACAAATATTGTTACTGTATTAAACAATATTAGTGGCACTGAAAAAAGATGAAATATTAATGACTTTTAAGATAACTAGAGAAAACATAAAATTTTGGACAAAATTTTTACCTCTCATAACTGTACGAATAGAACGTAATAAATTTAATATCTGGGCCTTTACAGTAGGTGGTTCACCAAAGCCTTGAATATTTTGATTAGCTCCCCAACCATCTGAATCAAAATTTTTGTATTTTCTTGAGAATTTGCATAACTTATTTCAACAATTAATTTTGCTTACTCAATTATTATAATGTAAATTGCATGAAGTAAGAGTGAAAATTATTATCAATATAATTGATAATATCACATGGATAAAAGTACAAATGACATAAACAATTCAACATAACCTTGCAGTCAATACATTTGGAACATTTAAAAAATAAATGATATTATGAAATAACTGAACAATATAATACTTACATTTTCTTAAAAATCTTTCTTCGTGTAAGATACAAGCAGCATTTAAAAGAAGAATAATAGCTTCCCAAAGAGTCCAAAGTGTGAAAGCCATGATAAGTTTGTACACATAACACATACACTCTATGATATCACTTATCGTTCAAACATGCAGTATTACCAACTCAACAGAATAATAGAGTAAAGCTAGCAGTAGAATAATTATTTGAAGCCGTATTTAAAATAAAAAATTTTTTTGTCAATGCAATGCTTTCAATATGCGATAGTTAAAGGAACTAAAGGGCTTGCATTGGAACAATTATTAAAATGAACTTATAAAATTCAAGATCATAAATAATAAATTTGAATTTTTTAACTGGTTACAGGTAAAAATTATAATATCAAGTAGTGCTGTATCAATTTTAAAGAAAAAAATATGTTTTTAAGACAATAAAAATGAAACGATAAGAAGATAAAAATAATTGGATATAATCAATAAAATCAAAACATTTATGTGCCAGTAAAAACTCACCATTTATGAACAGCAAGAAGTTAAAATAATTATTATAACAGTCTTTGATCATTCAAATTCTAGTTACCAATAAATAGAAATTGATTATAAATAGGAGTGCAAATAATGCCAGTTGATGCTTCTATAGATTTCTGTAATAAATGTTAAATATTAAATTTCATCACATAAGTAGATAAAGTTTATAATTTTTTTAAAAATATTGAGACATACTTTTATCCATAATTTTATTGCAAACCCAAGTTCTAAAAAAATGTATTATTCTGAAATAGTTCATATGTTCTTGCAGTTTACTACTAGAGATCTGAAAAAATTCATTAAATTAAAAAATAAAATAAGATTTAACATGTTATTGAGTATTATTCAAGCTTATAAAACAAATCGAAACCATAAAATGAACTTCAATTACCAAGGTTTTATTCTAAATATTTGTAGATGTAAAAATTACTAAAAAAATATCTTAAAAATTTTTTTTATACTTTTATTTTCACTTGTTAAAATATGTAATAAATCTTATTAAATTAAAATCTTTGAATATTCCCACAAAAATTATCGTTTACTTTTATAAAAATTTCACAAGAAAATATAACTTCGATTTTTTGTAATTTGCGTTTGAATAGGTTTAACCATTCCATTTATTTAACCGTAAAACCAATATGTTTTTCAAACTTTTATAAATACACACACTATATTTAATTGCTTAAGATGACTTTGAGTTGACGAACATAAAATATCGAGTGTCGTAATTAGGATTGTAAATTCAGAATTTAGACTCTCGAGTAGCACGGCTCATTTGAACTGAAACGGGTACAGCTCGGTGTCCGTTGAAAACTTCCAAACGATTTGGTTAAATCTTTTATTTTTCCGTACGTACGAATTTCAATGTCATACTTGCTTTTCAAAAGAATATTGTTGATTAATATCTCAGGAAACACTTTTGATCCAATTTTTACAACGTCGTAGGTTCAAAATGGCGAAGGCCGATCCGTTCGAGTTCGTGTTGACCTATCCAATGATCGTATCATTGCATTCGAAAATCTTGATAAAATGGTACATACAGCCTAGTTCGTTTACTCAAACTTGAAATATATTTTCAAATGATATTTGTTGATACCTGAAGCACAATAAACGCCATTGAGAGATCCATTAAGTTTTTTTTCTAATTTTAAGAAAAAAAAAACTCATAGAATTTAAACAGTAAAAAAACCGTGTTTCTTGTATTTGTTTTGAGAATACACGAATATTTCAAAATTTTTGCAACTAATTTACAAATTATAATACAGTAAGGTTATTAACAAAAGATAAGGGTGGTTAATTTTTATATACCTAAGCGTTTTTCCCTTGGACCTCAGAGTAAAAATGACAATTTGACAATGTAAATCTAGGCGGTAAAATACGGTGAACGAACTTCGAATTTGACTAATATGCATTACTATTAATGGAATACTACGTAGAACTCGGTTGGTGGCTGAACTGCTTCTCGCTCATGCGTGCAGTCGCATTCCGCCGATCACCGCCAGCAATGCCGAAGCCGTGCGATTTGATAAAGGGCGCTGACTGGTGCCTCCCGATTTCACCGGTGATATGTGGGATGGCGCCGCGTTCGAAAATTTGAATTCTACGAACTGGCCGACTCCGCGACTTTTCTTTATTTTCAAACGGCACAAGCAGTTACCCGATGTGTACGCGAGTCCATTACCCCTCCCTTTTGCGAACGACAAGTGATGTTAGTACCTTCGGAACCCGTGTAAGATCAGTCGGGGGGTCGACGCTCGCGATATCCCGCGCGAGGCACAGGAGAAGGGTAGGCGCTTGATTTCTGTTTCGAGCCCGTTCAGTATTAGCTATGTGCGAATCCTCAGTATCACAGCGAAGGAGATTCGCGAAAAAAGTTGGAAAATCGCTGTTGTGAGGAATTGAAGCTTGACGAGCGTATACACAATACACATTATTACCTACTTGTACGCACAAGCAATGCTGCCCAGGGCTTAACGGAACAAGCATCTGACAAAATACGGTTTATATCACACGCAGAGAGCATCGCTTTGGACCGATCAATCGACTGGTGCATTGATAAAGAGAAAAAACGTAGCGATTATTAACTGGCAGCAAAGGTGAGAAGTAATCGTGCCGAATTCTCAGCGACAAACGTGTATATTTAGAAATAAACGCACTATATTATGATTCTTAGCCCGTGTAGTTTCTCGAGTGTTGTTTACGTCGTTAACACTTACTGTCGTGGCCGTAGACTGATTCGATATGATATATTATATATATATGGGCGATTATGTATGTGCGTGCGTAAGTGTGTGCGCTAACAAAACGTCTGACAATAATAAAGAGTCGCGCATCGAACGGCGGGCATGAGTTCTAGTACTCGTCGTGTGCTGCGCGCACCTTGCAATCATAACCTTATTTTTTGCCAAAACGTCGTCGTGCATCAGCCTGTTTTGTAACAGAGATGCAGAATTACATGCCTCTCATGACTCGAGTCGATGTACTTGTTAAACAAAATTGACAGTTTTCCTTTGTTCGAGCGCTTCGGCCGACGAGTCCAGCAGAATGTTGAAATTAATCAAGCAAAAGCGTATGGTAATGATTTAATTCAAAAATATTATCGCTTTAATAGTCTAATACAATACGAGCAAATGACATTTTATTTGGCCTGTCTTTCTCCTCCTACATCTACTATTTAACGTTGAACATAAGTTTGCATTATACCTTCGCTTATCAAATTCAGCGATTTATTTGCTCTCAGAACATGAATCTCTCGCAAACCTTTACTCTGATCCGTGTCCGTGATACCGATGAAAATACAGTTTAATGGGCTACCTAAACAATTTGGAATTTTTTAATATTTTCATTTTCAAATTCGCATGCAAACGAAATGTATGCTTGTAGCATTTTTTGAAATTTTCTTTTTCTTTTCTTTTTATCAGTTGGAACTGAATCATGAAATATTAACTAGTGGATAAAAATTTGCCTATTAAATTCCTACAAACAAAAATCAGCACCACACAAGTCTTAAAGCTAAACTATGTATCAGTCAAATTTTTCACCTCATGCAATGGTGCACATAGTTGGCAATTATCAAGCATCAAACGGACAATTTATATCTCTACCAAGTCATGCATTTTTTACGGGTAGTCCTACCAATATTCACCAAGAATTTATCCAGTTTCCTCGCAATTCTTCAAATCACAACTCAGCTGTTAGACAGCGAGTTACACAGGTACAATGACATATCCTATCTATCAAATGAATTAACACAAAACAAACAAAAATAAGATTTGCAATTTGTTTATAAATACTGTGTTGCTTATTCAAAAGATTAATTTTATTTAACCCTTTTTCAGCCAGGCTATCCAATAGAACTCATACATCACTTTCACATAGATCCTCATAATCCAGTACGTAATGTTCATATGGCAACTGCAAGCTCTAGTTGGTCTCAAAGGTTAAATTCACCTGGAAGAATTCCTAACACACCGCAAAGGATAAATATACCTTCTAGTATAAATCTTGCACCTGTACATACCCGCCCAAATCATCAATTTCGATCGATTAGTGTGGGACCTGCAAAAAAACACACATGGAATAACAACAACAATAACAACAAAAATAATAATAACAAAATAAACAAGAGGCATTCCTACCATGATTTGCCTCTTTTAAGGGAGTCATGTAATCAGAGTGACAGTGGTGTCAGTTCTCGTTCACCAACTCCTAACAAACATCACAAAGGAAATAATCCAGATGATAGCCCAGATGATCGTGAATCAGTTACATCTGTTCCTGAAGGAAAATATCGAAAGTATTATAGTCTTGAATATGTTTTTGCAAATCTTACATTTATAGTGTTTATATTTTTAACTTTTTTTTAGAAATCGAACATTGGAATCAAACAATAACAGTGAAGGAAGTTTGGTTTCAAGTATATCTTTTAGTAATTTATTTCAAGAATCAACAGAACCTTCTGACAAAGCACAAAAAACTAACACTAATTCAAATTCTCAATCCCATCCACTAAATAATACAAATAACCAAAACAGGCGGAAATATATTGCAGGTACTTATAAATTAAAAATAACTTATGTAATTTTCAATCTGCAGAGTTTAATGAAAACTTCAATATTTTAAGGACGAACAACTCCTGCAACAGCTCCCAAGTCTCAAAGAAGCAAAAAATACAATGTACCAACAAACGAAGTGCACGCTTATAATAGGTTTTATTTTAACCCAGCTGATAAATATCTTGAAAGATCACATTTAGTTCAAGTGCAAGAACCCCCACCTCAGTTGTTAACCGGATCCCCATATGACAAATTATCTGAAGCTATATGGAAAAAATTTGAAGAAAATCAACTTACCCGAAGTACTTTCTGCCATAAAATGTATTTATGGAGGTACCTATACTTTTACATTAAGGTATTATTAAATTGAAAGTTATTATTTGAATTTTCAAATAAATTATTACACTTTTGTAACTATTTTTATCATTATTTCAGCAAAGGTTTCCCCAGTATGGTTTATTCATGGTAGGTTCAACTCTTAATGGTTTTGGAACCAATGCTAGTGATGTTGATATGTGTCTCTTGGTGAGAGATGCTAATCCAATTGATCCTAGAAATGAGGCTATTTATCGATTAGGTCAAATCATGTCATGCTTAAGAAAAAGTGGTAAGAAGACATTTTTTAATAAACTTTTGTTTTATATTTGTTTATTCAAATTGTATTAATTTTTTTAGATTTTATTGGTCATCTACAGCTTATTCAAGCCAAAGTTCCTATTTTAAAAATACGAGACAATGTATATAACTTGGAAGTTGATTTAAATTTTAATAATGTTGTGGGTATTAGAAATACTCATTTGTTACATTGCTACTCACGAAGTAAGTTTTGAATGTACATAGTTTACTGTGACTATATAGTATTCTCATAAAAAATTATGATTTTTATTAGTTGATTGGAGAGTGCGACCACTTGTGTTAGTTATAAAAAGCTGGGCTCAATGCCAAAACATCAATGATGCAAGGCACATGACTATATCTAGTTATTCATTAGTACTAATGGTAATTCATTTTTTGCAATGTAAGTACTTTTATAACATTTATTCGTTAATATCAATCAAAACATTAGGTATCAAATATTGTATCAAATATTGAATTCTAAGGTGGTGCTAGTCCTGCAGTTTTGCCATGTTTACACAGTCTTTATAAGACAAAATTTCATCCAATGTCTGATATTCATAGCATTGACTTCCATGAAGAATTACATCTTCCATCGCATTCACTAAATCCACGAAATACTCAGACTCTTGGAGAATTATTAATTGATTTTTTCAAGTATTACGATTCATTTGAGTAAGTACTGATTTTTACAATTAAACATCTTTTGAAAAAAATGTCTTTTTTAACACTTGTTTTTCTAGTTTCGAAAAGTATGCTATTTCGGTCCGGGTCGCGAACAAAGTACCCATTGACACATGTCGGTACGCCAGAGCAATTAAAAATGATCCTCATCAATGGAAGTACTTATGCGTAGAAGGTGAAGTTTTTTTTATTATCAATTAAACTATAATTATCAAAATTTTTTTTTATTATTAATTAAACAATAATTATCTTATTTACGTAATTTGCAGAGCCTTTTGACTTGACAAACACTGCCAGATCAGTTTATGATCTTAATGTCTTTGAAAAGATTAAAGAAGTTTTCAAGCAGACGCACCAACAATTAGAAAAAACTAAAGATTTAAACAGCATTTTTTCAAAATTAGAAGCAGAACCCTGAGTATGTAATTTTTAGCTTTATAGAAGAATTTTGAAATTAAGTTTCAAAAATATTTAGCAATTAATTATTTTAATATAAAAAACAATCAGATAATACCATTTAAAGTTGAATAATGTAGCAGAAAAAAATGTTGGAATTACTTTTTACATAGGCAAAACGGAATAACTATTTGCAAAGCTAAAACGATATAGCTATATTTTTTGGTTATGATATTTATTTATGAATCTCTCCATAAAAAGTTGAAGATTGGCTTAGAAAGTAATGCCACTATAAGTTCCGAAAATTAGTTGAAGCTTATAAAATCTTTCGATTAGAGGCTGATGTATGACTTGAGAAGATATGTACCAATAAAAAAAGCAGAGTACAGACACTGACGAGTCTGGCTCATGTAAATCTCTTGAGAATTAGCTTGATATTTCAATTTTAAAGATCATGATTATTGAGTGTTAGTTAAATGTAGGCGAATAACTTAAAAGTTTCAACGAAATCACAAAATTAATCACTGTGTACCTTTGGCTGACAAAAACGTTTGTTTAAAACAGGAAACATTTGATACTGCAGAGCACGAATTGATGCGTGCTTCAAAACCACGAAAATGATCAGAAAATCAAAATTACTTTTTTAAAATGATATCTGATCAAATACTCTTAACAAGACCTACAATCAGTTTTCTATAAAATTAAAAAATCAAAAAAAAAAATTAAAAATATAAATGCCAATAAACACTAATAAAATGTTATTTAAAAAATTCTAAAAATTGTTAAACTTAGATTTGTAATCGATGTAAATATTGTATAAAACAAAAGTTTGTTGCTGAATCATAAATTTAAATTTAAAAAATATTAAATACAACTGATCTAGTTTTTACGTTAAATTTGTAAGTTTATAGAAAATAAGTTTATATCAGTTTGAATAAGAAAGATTCGTTGATATAATACTATACAATAGTAAATCACGAAAGTTTTTGAAAATCGTACTTGTAGCCATGATACATGTGTTAGATTTCTAATACGACTTTGATAATATTAATTTTGACATGGCCTTGTAAAATTTTATACGAAAATTTTTTTACAGCTTTCTATATAAAAAATCTAAATTGAAACTATCAAAAAAATTAACTCTGTTATCTAATTTTCAGTATTTTATAAAAATATGTATACAGCTGTTGTTAGTAAACACTCAACTTGATTTTTTCTAAAACAAAAAATACGTTTTCCATATTAAAACAGGTACAGTCCGCGTAAACTGTAAAAATAATTGATTCAATCAATTGAAAATTATTCATTGTCAAAAACTTTGTAAGACGGTCATTCTCATCGCACAAATTACTTAAAATATCGTGGAATAAGATAAGTTGAACATACATCCGATAATAAGTGAGATAAATTGCAAATAATGTTCAACTCTGAACTGAAATTGAAAAATTGTAAAAACTATTTTTGCATTCATTAATCAGAATGTCATGCAATTCAACATTCGTCATTAGAAGGGAAAATACTTTAAATTATTATGTTAAAAACCAAATTTTTGTCTGTGATTATCGTGCCAATAGTAGAATTATTTTCTGTAAATTTCAATTCTTTTTTTTCATAAGTTAAAAATACAACATACTTGTATGTAAACCATTTTCATAGTTACTTATGTTATCATAAATACTTTTCAGTCACCCCATAGAATACCTAAAAATTTACTTATTGTATAATTTTTGTTTCAATTTTTTGTACAGTTTGCTCAATTGTTATTATATTGTAAATTTTTTGTAAAATTCATAACTGTTCAATAAAATTCTAGTTTCAAATTGAAACCAAAAATCGATATCCCACAGCATTTTATTTACCGGTATTGTAAATGAGCAGCATCAAGGTGAAATAACAGGCTGGCGAACAAAATATTAACTTGCCGACAGCAAATGTACTACGGAAATCAACCAATTTATAAAAAATAGGGTGAGACAAGCAAATTGCGGTAGTTCAAGTCTTTTGAAGAGTCCTTAGAGGGCGCTTTTAAACGCACCAGCTGATATTGTGCAGTTTATTGAACTAATTGAGACTACGGTCAGATATTCTAGTCTATAGCAGTGGTCGTTTCTTTTAAATTGTTTATTTTATAAGTAAATACAAAAACTAAAAAGTTTCATAATGGGTAAGAAGTACATTTGTAGAAACTTAAAAAATTACAAGGGTTAATGTATAGAGAAAAAACTTTTCTTTGTACCTTTACAGATAAAAGTGAAATTCGCAGAAACGCTCATTTGGCTCATAATTCAAAACGAGAAAATGCGGATCTCGTGGAGAAGTGCAAGAATATGACTGATCGGTATCAAAATCAGGTCAATGACATATGTATCAAACTTAGTCCTCCACCAGATTATAAGTGGTCTTATTTGTGCTCTGAAATCTGGTCCAAATTTGAAGAAAATGAACAGTCTGTTTACGATCTTACAAATAAATTATCGATTTGGAAAAGGATTAGCCATGACTTAGAAGTAAATTATTCTTGACTACATCGATTGCTTTTTTCATTAATTAATGTTAGCTTTATTTTGCTGTCTTACTTACAGAAATATCATAAGAATGGAGGATTCTTCGTGGTAGGTTCTATGTTTAATGGCTTCGGTCTCAACCATAGTGCCATAGATCTTGCATTTATTGCGAATTTCAAGAAACTTCATGGAGCTAATAAAAAAAAATCGAAAGCGAATTTGAGTGACCTTAAACATTTATTCACTAACAATGGTTACAAAACGATTTTTAATAATATTATATTTCCGATGCATAAGTGTGCGCATGTTGTTCTTTAAAAATTATATTGTTATTATAGAAGACGTAAAGATCGTACAAGTAATCAAGTCATTCATACCAATTCTAAGATTAGAAGACAAATCTTCTGGCTTGCATATTAACGTCACATATAATACCCTGCCATACGTTCGCAACACTTACCTCCTTCAATTATATTCGAAATGTAATTATTTGATTTTTATTAGTATTCAAATTTAACATTTTCACCCTTTTTTTGTATTTTTAGTTATTTTCGATCAATTTAAAAATTGGTAATTTAAAAATGTTGTTTACTGCAATAACATAGGTGACTGGAGGATACGTCCATTAATGGTCACCATAAAATTATGGGCTAAACATCATAAGCTACTCGACAGTCAAAAATTCAATAGTTTCCATCTAACTATGATGGTAATCAGCTATTTACAATGTAAGTGGACTTTCAATGTTCAAAGTAAAACAACTGATTGGTTATTATATACTATCATTTTCAGGTGGAACTCGACCCATTGTTTTACCAAATCTTCAGCATCTGTTGTATGAAAATTTGGCGTCAGTAAGATATGTACCAAATATAAATTTTGCGGAAAAGATAATTATACCTTTTCAATCAGCAAATAGACAGTCTTTGGCTCAACTACTCATAGGATTTTTTGATTATTACGTTAATTTCAAGTAAAAACTTTGTTGTCATTAATTTTCGATTAGACTCAATGGTGATAATTCAAAAATGTTTAAAAATTTTTTAGCTTTCAAGATAACGTTATTGCTCTTCGTAAAGGAAATGTGCTACCAGCCAATTTTTATTGTAAGAATTTGTCAAATAGAAAATTTCATTCTGAATTTAAAGGAAACTGCTTAAAAATCGAAGGTATCAGTTATTTTCATTTTATACTAGAGTAGATAAAGTTAGGAATGTACCATAAATTTTTTACTATGTTTTAGAACCATTTGATAAATTTAATTCAGCCAAGTCATGCGATAAAAAAACCTTAGAGGCAGTATTAGCTGCATTTAAAGAAAGCTGCGTTAAACTCAAAACATCTTGTGATTTGAAAAGCATATTTCATGCTACTGATGGTTTAGCAGAAGAACTGTAGTTGAAGAAGACAAATATTGCACATAAATTAGCTTTTGTACAAATGATTCTGGGTATAACTTTAATAAATAATAATTATCAGAACAATGAAAAGTTAATTTTACTCTGTAAATTTACTAAAAATCTTCCAAGGATGAGTTTTAAAAATTTCATAGAAGTGAAAAAATATATATTTTCAATCATAATTTATTAAAATCATCAAATCTTACAGTACAACTTTGTAACATAATGCTTAAATGATAATTGAATTCGGCCTGAAAATAATATATTACGTACATGATACGAAATTGTTCACATGCTAAAATTTTTTATACAATGAAACAATTTTTCTCGAGCATACCTACGAAATTATATTTAAAGAAAAGTTTTATCTGTTCTTGAAGTGTTTACCGTAGAAAAAATTAAATTTTAGTCATTCGTCAATATTTAATAAAATATTGTGTTTGCTTGGTAAGTGGCCTTGACACTTTATTTATTAAAAAAAATCAAAAATTTTTCAATATAAAATCAATATTAATGCAGAGAACGTAAATTATTGATACTGTTCTAAGTGTATCGTAAGTATTCTGAGTCAAAAAAAAAACCGTTATATTCTATTGAATTGGTTTCAATTATTTGTACATGTTGATAATCCAAATTTTATTTAGCGATTTCGAAATGCCCAAGTAAACTAAATCTATAGAAATCTTTATGAAAAAATTTCCCCCGTGAATTAACACGCATAGTACTGTCATTTTGCTGCTACTCTGTTAGCCGAAAAATCGAATTTAACAGCTAAAAATACCGACCTCAAACATATTCTTGTCTTTTCACCAGCAAAAGAAGTATTTTCTATTTATTTCTCAGTTACACGATTCGAAATGCGCTATACTTGATCGAATTATGGTTGACAAACAGTGTATTTGCTCTCACGTTGTCGTTTCATTTTAATTCAATTACCCGTTGACTTGAATATCACTTTGTCATGTATTGTAGGCCGTAAAACTTGAATCAATAGCAGACATTACGTTAACCGTTGGTGGGTATGGATTCTCTTCCATCCGAGTTATGATATTCTCTCTTCCTTGCAACATAGACATGTGCAGATGTTTAAAGAAAGAACTTTCAATTATCGGTTGATCACTTCTGTTAGTCTAAAGTGATCTCGTTGAGTTTAAGAATTGTGTGTGATTTGTTTCAGTCGCTCCCGCGACTTATTTGCACGACAAATGCAATGGTATACCCATCATTTCATTGGCTCAATAAGGCTGCGAAAGCTGTCCACTTGGTTGCGACTGTCCAGAAGTGAAGAATCCTACAAAGATAAGGCAAAGATATTTTAAAATGAACGTTCAAAGCTCTTAGAATAACTATTACACAGTATCCTTTTTTAGGTATTGTATTACACACCTTGATAAGTAGAATCTTGCGAAAATAATCCTTCAGGATGAGAAGGAAAGGTGCCGACTGAGTACGAATCTTGAGACAATTCATTTTGCGATAAGCCAGGTTGTGACAGACTGAAGCCAGGTTGTGACACTTGGGTACTCTGAGTGGGAGCAAAACCCGGCTGACTCAAAAGTTGCGTTTGCTGCTCCGTTTGACTCAGCTTAGCTGTGCGTGCATTTGGTGCATTTAATCTAGAATTATTAACTGTAAGAAGAAAAATGTATTAGATATTTCTCATAAAGTGATAGGAACGACAATAAATGGGTTAACGATGCTAAAAAATTGTTTACCTCTGGTATTTCCACGGCGCTTCGTAGTTTGCGACTGCCTTGCCTGTACCGCTTGTTGATGCTGGTTGAAGAATCTCGGGGGTACATGCGTCATATTCATGAACATACCCACTGGAACCGGTACATTGCTCATGGCAGCTTGAGCTCGTTCCGGACTGATGTAGCTTATGGTATCGTGATTCCTCGCGAACGGATCCATGGGCAGATTACGTGGGTAAAAGTGATTCGGTACTTGTCCATTCATTTGGGCACCCGACCGATCGTAAACGGAACCCGGGATCATGGCTTCTCTGGCGTCATACGTGGTAGTCACCATGAAGTGCGATCCAGGGTTAGCCGAATTGATGATTTTTTTAGGCTTCGAAAATTGGATCATCGACTCTTTGAGATTATTGAATGGACCTTCGACCAAAACCTTTTGTTCTTTATAGAAGCACAACAAATGATTCCACAAGGGTTGCTTAGACAGAACTCTAGGATTGCCGACTATGATGATGCCATATTTAGCTCGAGTTAGAGCAACATTTAATCTTCTCGGATCGTTCAAGAAACCGATTCCCTGGTGCTCGTTCGACCGAACGCAAGACATGATGATTATGTCTTTTTCTCGTCCCTGGAAGGCATCGACACTAGCTACTTCTATTTCTTGGTACTGCTGCGAATGAAGGGGTCCGTGGTACTGCATGTATTGGACTAAATAAGCTCTTTGGCCTTCGTAAGGTGTAACAACACCAATTTGATCGGGTTTAATTCCAGAACGCAAAAACTTGGTAGCTAATTTTTCAACATTAGCAGCTTCTGTGCGATTTAGATAAGATGTGCCACTGCCAGCGATTTCTTCTTGACCTTGCGTCACGTAGAATAACATCGGCTTGTCCTTTTGCGGCCAAGGAAAATCCATTTTAGGAAGTTTTCGCTCGTCAGCGCATACTCCATTCTGCAGAGAGCCCTCATAGAAGAAATTAGACGGGAATTTCGATAACACTGGGTGCATACGATATTGAACTTCGAGTCTGAAGGGTCTGATGCCAAGCACGACCAGTCTCTCAAACAGAGACTGCGATAGTCCAGCCCTAGCAGCCTTCTTGCACATGACTACGGGACCGAGCTGGCAGTGGTCGCCAACTAATATAAGCTGCTTAGCTCCGAGAACGACGGGCACCATACATTCTGGCTCTGTGGCTTGCATGCTCTCGTCAATGAGGATCGAGTTAAACTTGATTCTCTGTAGTCGAGGATCACCCGCACCGACGCAAGTGCAGCAGATAACGTCTGCAGCGTCGAGCAGCTCTTTTTCAGCTGCTTTTTTCAGCAATCTGTAGCGTTTTTCATCGACGCTCGATAGTTCGCCAGTCTCATCTTTCAACTGTTGCAGTTTTATCAATTCGCTGTTGGTTTCCATGTTTTTAATTTGATTATGGAGAGCCAGGAAGCTTACGGGTGAATCAATAGCTTCTCGACTTTTGGCACATAATCTTACAACTTTGAGATTGGTCTTGTGGATTTTTTCAGTCAGCTGATCGACTGCAGTATTAGATGGTGCACACACGAGCACAGCACCACCGTTGTTTTGCTTAACCAACTGATAAACAATGGTAGCGCTGGTCACAGTTTTGCCGGTTCCGGGTGGTCCTTGAATTAAGACCAACGGACGCTGAAGAGTTTGCTTGACGGCATAAACTTGAGAACGATTTAAATCAGGTAAGTTGGGCGCGCTATAATGCTTGGGATGTGACACTCGATAGACAGCATCTTCGATTTCATGCCCTAAAAGACGGTGGTAGATGTATGCAGAAACGGCGCTGTCATCAACTGCAAATTTTCGCAGAGCTTGTTGCATTCTATCAAAACTTGTACTTTTCCAAATGAAATCTACTACAAAATTACTTGTACAATCAGTAGGAGCGCCTGAACTCGTCTTCAATTCTATTCCAACTTCTTCGCCATAATTGTCTGGAATTTTAATAACATGACCAACTCCATTCCATGGCTTGTGCATTTCTCCCAGATATCTTAAACGTAATTCATCTCCATGCATGAGCTTCATATCTCCATCTGTTTTTGCCAAAACAAAGTAAGCGATGGATTTTTTATTTAATCCAACATCCCAACGTACTTCAATATTTTCTTGGGTTTGGGATTCTTTTAATCGTTTATCATAATCTGATTCCAACTTAACTAAAGGCCCAAAAATGTTTTGGTATTGATAGGCATCTTCATACCTCAGCAAAACATTTTGTGGTTCTTCATCAACACCAGGTTTTTCAAGATCTTGGAACGTGGCATCAATATTATCACGCCACAGCTCTTCCAACTTATTGATTTGCATTGCTGTTATTTGTCTAGCTCTTAATTGCTCTTGGTCAGTTGGTATTTTAACAAGCCATTTGACAAAACCACGATCTTGAATCAATGGTTTCCACTGATTTTGATCCCAATTCATATCTTTTAAATTGGTTTGAGCGGCGCAAGGTTGTCTACACAAAAGAATGACCACAGATTCGGTCTTTGCAGGAATGTATCCAAGCACAAATACATTCCTTGTAGCACAAACGTAGCACTCAAGAACAGTTTCTCCTAGGGGTCCAAGCCTTAAAGAAAAAAAAATCATAATTAAAAAAATAATAATTATGTTAGAATGTAATAAAATAAAGTAATAGATAATTACCGATGCAAAGTAACTTCTTTATGTTTTGCACGAACAAGATGGTTAACAATGTGCGATCCAGATGTATTTCCACGACTGTTGCAAAACCATTTGCGACAGCAATTACACATAACAACGCACGAGGCTTCATGTATCCCACAGTACTTACAAGCATGGTCAGGAAGGTCCTTGTTATTGTAAAAAGCTTCTTCTTCTTCTTCTTCAAATTGTAAATCAGCCAATGATTGAGCTGCCCCAGAAATTTTTAGATCTAAAGCTGATGCAGACACGATACCATTCACCTGAAAAAAAAAAGAATATTAAAAATCTATTCAATCATGTAATATCATGAAATTTTGTGACACAAAGTAATATGAGCATTCTAAAATAAATAACAGAAGAATGGAACATAATTTTGATGCAATTTATAAGATATATAGATCTCTGAAATATTTTATTAGTACATTATTCAATCATTAAAATCATAAAATAAAGATTAAGCAAGTTAATCATAAAACCTATCAGCAAAACTAAAATAGCCTATTCATTTATAATATTAGCCCCAATTATTAAACAAAGTCCATTTTAAAAATCTACAAATAAAATCTTAAGTATGCAATCAATACAATGGAAGAAATTATACAACTTTTTTTTGTTAATAATACAGGTTACAAAAGCAATATTTTTATGAATATTCAAACTAACTGGATGATATAATGGCATTACCAGCTTTAAGGCTTAAAATTAAAGTGATTAAGTAGGGATAAAGAAAAATTTGGATAAAAATATCCAAAAAATGACCAAGTATCTATGCACCAATAATTTTAGTTTAGAAAATCTATAGTTTGTTAAAGTAACTAAAATGAGATATTTTAATCTTATTAAGTGCAATAGTAAAATTGAGTTAATACGTAGTCATTGATATTATCAAACAAAAAACAGTAAAGGATAAAAGTTATAATAGTTGGTCCTGCGTTTCATTAAAAATTTGTAATTTGAAAAAAGTAAGTAAATTTTGAGGTAAGATTTTATGCCTAATTACCAAAAAAATACTGTGTATGCTAAACAAAAAAGTTACTCTCCTAAACACAGTAATAGAATGTTATAAAAATAATAAAATCTTATGAGTTTTATTTATATGGACTCAAAACACAATGGCAGAGTAAAAAATGAGTATTTTTAAACAAAGCATGAAAAGCATGATATATTGAGCATTTGAAGATTTTGTGATCCTTACAAAATATTATTCTATGATACTCGATTGTAAGATTAATGACATTGAAGAGCAACAGAGGGCTAAAGGTCTTTATTAAAGAGACATTTAAGAATAAGAATAAGAGGTAGATAAATTTTAAGTTCAAATAGAAAGTTGTGTCCTAATTGAGGTTAGGTTCGGAAGCATGTTACACAAGAAAATAGCACAGTTAGCTGGGCTTACCTGAACATTTTGAGGTGGTTGAGTAGATTTTCTGGTCTCCAGCTTGGTGGCCGTCGCTGTTGGTTGACTGGCCTCGGGCATGGAGAAATCCGTAAATTGATAATCATCATTCTGAGTATCCGCGTGAATGTCGTCGGCTATATTGTCGAAGAACGTTAAAGTTCCTTGACTGCTAGGTCCGTAAGCGTCGACACTCATGATTGTCGTCGTTAAAATAAGAGGCAACGATTCAAAGTCACGAAGATGATGTTGAAAGGGTTGCTGAAGCTCGCTTGTCCAACGACGATCGCGAGGCTCGTACTGCTTCTATATCTCGCACCCACACTACGTAGTACGTTACACTGAACAGCCGAGCACGATCTAAATCGTATACGCATTCACAAGCACGTCAACGCGTGAAGCGAAAGCAGCGCGCAGCAAGTAAACAGAAAAACCAAAGAGACAGAGAGAACTGATGATGGTCGAATCGAAGCTGCCGAGTGAACTTGGAAATAGTATAAGTATATAGACTAAGCGTGGATGCGTAGTCGCTGTAGGTCCTCGCTATATCGCTACCTCGCTACAATTGCTCTGATCTCACCGCACCGATGCGTTCTTTATACCTGAAACTGCCAAGCTGACTTCCACGTGAGTGCTCCCCTCCGCTCCGCACTCCAATTCTGCCGTGCAGCGATTTCTGTATGGATTTTTCAAACCATTTTTTATTACCATTCAGTAAAGAACGGCTCTTTTTTTTTTCAACTTTTTTTTTAAAGAGAAACACGCGTCGAGTGTAATTTTCGAGTAAAGTTAAAATATTGTCAAAGTAAAAGACTATAAATACGAGCCACGACTTTTTTATTTGAAAACCTGCCATTGAATTGCAGGAGTTTTTCCCGCACGTGTTACAGATATCTATTTCGTGATGCATTGGTGCGCACTGATTTGAGACTTTAATTTTTTCCGTGGTCTACGTATGAACTTAAAATTTAGTTTATTCCCAGTACACATACATTTTTAATGCTAATATTCTCAATTTGTCTTGTTAAATTAACAAATTCGAATCATCGTGCTGATTATCGTAATCAACCCTTAATTAAAAAATTAATAAATACGCATTATATGTTTTTTAAAAAAAAGTTAGGGGGAAAAAAATTCCCAAATAAACATTTGCAGATACTTTTATAAAATACTCAACTTTGTACGTTTTTTAAGCTTTGGATGAAAATTAAGAGCTGACAGAGTAACTTTAGTTTTTCAAAATGTATCTAATCAGAGACTTGTCATGGATACACCATGCTTAACTCTAAAATTTTACTCGTTGACTTAACTGACTGCGTTATTTATTTAATGGTTTAACATAAAACAAATCAACGCATTATTTAAGTATCTAAATGTTGATTAACGATTTATCAATAAGAATCAATTCGATTATAAACTGTAATAATTTATTTAATACTCACAGATTTAAATAAAAATTGGTTTAATAAGATTAAGATGCATGTAACAGCATGGTGAGGATTTATAGCGATGGACGAAATTTTTGACGGGGCCTTTCATTATTTACGTAAGGGTTTTTAGGGGGAGGAGGGGAGGGTGGCAAATCTCCTTACTTACCATGTTGCGAGGGATAGGAAAACCACTTACGTGACAGGAGGAGGGGTCGGAAAAATTGAAAAAAACTCTTACGTAATTAATGGAAGACCTCTACGTACTATTCTTCTAAAAATTTGGTGATATGATTTAAAAGATTTTTATAAAATATTTTCAATAATATTTATTATTAAAATTACACGAATATATGAAATAAACTTGTCTTTTGTAAATGGAAAAAACAGATTTGTAAATTTGAGAAAAAATTCGTTAGTTTTGTAATTCAAGGCATATTTTGACCAATGAATTTAATACAAAATAACCCATTATTCAGTTCTTGTGTTATTGCTTGACCTTGAGCTTTGGACAAAAAAATTAGGTGGTATACTCGCATACTTGATTCGTAAATATTTGACTTACTAGTAGCACGATAAAGTCGCGCTTAATATTTTGACGAAGTGCACGCTCCATCTTACAAGTACGAAAGAACTACAGTGACACACTCTCCTCATATACACTCGCTTCCGCATAATTCTGTAACACCTAAAAATGTAAACACAGCGTAGATAGAATTGATTTTCCCATTGTGTTAAATTAAGCTGTTATAATATATAGTGTACGGGCTAGGGTTGGCAGAATCCCTACTTCCCTGTATTTACATTGTGGGTGCTGCAGAATTAAACAGAAATGAGGGTTCATCGCATTCTTCTCATATACATACATCGCAATTATGTTAGCTAATTTTATTTTCGCTTTAATTTGAATTTAATAACAGTGGTCGAGAAACTTGAAGGCCCATCCAAATTCTTGGAAAAATCCTATCTATGTGTGCTGTTTGGAATTTCAAACTTCACTTTTCCCGATAAAACAAGGATAAACAAAAATTAAAAAATTGAGCCGCATGAAAAGTGGTCTCATGAAGTTTCACATAAATTTCCGGATTAATGAATTTTAAAGATTTATTAATATAACCAAATCATATATTAACTTAATGAACAACAAGTAGTTTTAATTCTTTATTTCAATAGTATTATTCAGAAGTGAATATAATAGTCTCGTGCTCGTGCACTGTGACGATATTATGAGCAGCTTATATACGTCAGCTATAGACCAGAAATGATTAGCAGTCTTTTTATTCACAAACTCATTTGCAATAGTTTTCTAAACTCCCTGAAAAAATGTCATTTTTAAGAGTTTCTTAATTTAATTAACAAAATTGGTATCATTAAAAATGACAATACTTTTGACAAACATTTGATTGTAGTAAATGTTTAATAATTCAATTTTGTTATCATAGGCTACATTACAATATTTATGCTTAAAAATAACTGTATTAATTCTATAATTAATTCGAAAAGATTCATTTATCTACTTTTTACATAAGTCGCATTTGTTGTAAATGCTTACAACCACTATAGACGTCAATTCTTAAGATATATTTTATATAATCAAATTCAGACACTCATGTATATACAATTTTTTTACCTACACATACAAAATATGCTAAAACGGAGTTTTTTTACATAATTTTCAATTGAATAGTATACTTTTTAGTATCGAATTCCGTTAATAATGATCGAACATTAAACGATTGTAGTTTCAAAAAATAGTTTCGCTCATCGCACTTTGGTTTAAAAGCATTCTTGGGTTAATCCAAATATTACTCACAGATAATACCAATGAAAATATGAAAAACTATGTGCGAATGATAACTGCTCATGGGGAATCGTTTTAAAACTGGATACATTCTTATATTCTAAAAATCAATCAAACATTATTCCAGTCAAACTTAACAATTGCAGAACATTCACTCCTTTAAATGCTGTTTGATTTCTATAATAAATATAGATATAATAAACTAGTCTATGCATACACAAGTTTACATGTATAAAACCATTCACAATTACATTTTTCTTTTACATTCATTTGGTCTTTGTAAAATGTAACGGTTAATAATCTAATTTAAATGTTAAATATACAACATTCCATTTTGAAAAATTATCATACAATTTTAGGAAATACTGTAGAATGCAGATATCTAGTCATGCCTAAACTTATTAATTTTAATATTATCGCATATGTCGTATTTTTCCCATCTATATTCAAACAAAAATATTTTCGTAACATAAGATCATTTCACACAAGGTGTACTACAGGTTTCAATAAATTAGATGTTAATTAAGCCTTTGAATTTTCTGGTTTGTTACGTCAAACTTTTAAAAAATATTTTTAAATATCACACATTCTAACTTATGTAAAAAAAGTCTAGCTTCGATTTTTTATAAACAATAAATATTATAAAATGATGATCGAAAATTTTTGACACAATGGAATCTACTTACAATAACATTTTTAACGTCAGCATCCTTGCAACATTGATCGTAAGATTATGAGCAAGTCAAAGTAAAAAAAAATAATAAGTTTATATGTTATTTGAATTAAAAAATGTAGTAACATCAAGTATGATTACAAATTTGTTAATTGTAACAGTCGCAGCTCTAAAAGTAGCGTAATTTATCTAGAAAAAAAATCAACGATAATTTGGACACAATTTATATCTTATTGACTCGCTTGTATTATACCGCACCATAGCACGTGTGATTGGACAACGTCATGAATGTCATTCAGCCAATAGGCTTTTACACGGGGAAAATCCACGGAAAAAAATATATAAATATTTATGTATAAGTAACAACGCTTGCTTTGAACAATTTCTTCGAAACTATCGATCAGAGAAGTGTGCGAACGACGACAGAGATGCAACGTGTAAGTACAATTTAGCACCTGAACATCGTCCAAGTTTCAGTCTTTCTATCATTATCAGTACTGCGGGGGATTCGGGGAATGCCTCGTGTAATTCACCTGCTGCTGCACACTGTTTATTTGCATACTTGAGCTCTGATTGGTTCGCGCTTGATAAGCGTGAGGCGGGGGCGGTGGCGGGTTCTGGGGCCCACCCGTAGTTTTTCCGTAGATTCCCCTCGATGAACTTTGATAAGTGCCGTAGGCCGAATCGTCGCCTCTCCTGGCGTGAGTGCCGTAGATGTTCTCTCTCATGTCCGGGCCTGTTTGCCTCTGGCTCGAGCTGTCTCGAGATACCTGGCCCGTCTCCCTGGTCGGAGGCGTCTGATGAATTGGAATTGGCTGCTGAACCGACTGCTGGGGCTGTTGCTGTTGCTGCTGCTGTTGTTGTTGCTGCTGCTGCTGTTGCTGCTGTTGTTGTTGCTGCTGCTGTTGTTGCTGCTGTTGCTGTTGCTGCAATTGAGCTTGCTGCTGGGGCGTTAAATCGGGTTTCCAGCCGAGAATCATGTGATTGGTGGGAGGCGGTACCGGGGCTCGGCCGTAGATACCGGAAGATCCCGACGAGGACACGTTGCCGTTCTCACGAGTTCCCAAGTGACCGTAGATGTTGTCGCGATTGCTTATGTTACCCGAGACGCCGCGAATGCCGTAAATGTTCTGATTGCACTGCTGCAGCTGATTCTGCATGTTCTGATTGGTGCTGTTGTGGTTCTGCTGGACGGGCGGCTGCTGGGACGAGCTGCTGGCCTGGGGCGAGCTCGTGTCCCTCATGCTGGCAGGCGCGTTCAGCGAGTTCAGTCGGATGGGGTAGAGGCTCTGGGCCGGCACCAAGGGGCCCGGCTTCGGTATGACCAGGCCGTCGCGCGTGCCGCTGGTCGACTTGGCGTAGACGCTCTGGGACCTGTTGAGATTGGCCCGGGTCAAGGGCGGCGACTTGCAGTAGAGGCTCTTGGTGCCGCCGTAGATCGACTCGACGCGGTCCAGGGCGTTGGGGTGGGGCGCATAGATGCTGGCGGCCCCGTTGACCGGCCGATAGGTCGCGTAGCCGCCGGAGAACTTGGGCGCGCCGTTCTTGTCGAGGTCGTCGTAGGTCTCGTCGTCCGAGCGCATCGACGAGTTCTCGCCGTCGTCCATGTCGCGCACCTCGCGCCGGCGACGATGATTGCTCAGCACGTACTCGTTGAGCAGGGCGGCGATCGCGCTGCCGACTATCGGCCCGAGCCAGTAGACCCAGTGATTCTCCCACTTGTTCAGCACGAACGATGGACCGAGGGCCCTGGCCGGATTCAGGAAGGGATTCTGCAATCAAACGAGAATGTGAGTAAAAGCTGCGCCTTCCTTCTCACCTAGACGTCGTGGATCGAATTTTTCACAAGCTGCGACTTACCGCCACAAAGTAACAAGCGGCGTAGGTTGACGCTAGGACAGCTGCAGGTTTGCCGGAAATCGTCGAGGGAAGAGCGCGCGGAGATTCGCTCGCGTAATGTCCCAGGATCAGAAATATCGACAGGGTCATCTCGATCAATAGTTTGATCAGCGCCTTCTCTTCTATCTTTCCTCCCTTTATGTTTATCCACTGTGTTTCTCGTGTCACGCTGTAACAGATAAAAATTCATTTATTTCATCATTTTTTATTTCAAAAATTAATCATACATCCTGTGAATTGTTTCACTTCAACCAAAATATTTGTTCTATTGTATCGGTATCGATTGTATTATAGTCTGAGTTAAGAAAAAAATTAAGACCGATGATGTATTCGTTTTTCATTCAATTTCAATTTGTCGCATAGACAAAAAAACAGCCCCACCCAAAGACGGGCGCGTAAGCTTTTAACATGTTTAATACAGGGGTGGATAGGTTCGAGCGAGCCCACAACTTTCATAGACCCATTTACATCGCACGCAGGGCGTAAATAATAGCTCCTGCCATACACGATACACGAAGCAAGTAAGGCCAATTAATTCGATCAAGATGACAAGGATCATTTCGCTTTGAACGTTATAATACGCTTCCATCTAGCAAAGTGTATAAGATTGGAGTTAACTGAATCTTAATAAAATTAGAATATCTATAAGTATTTAATAAGTTACAATTTTACTTGAATTCAACTTAATGAATTTTTAAATTATTCGTCGATTCATCAGTGGGTTAATTATAGAAATTCATCATAGCTTGAATTTATTTTATTCGTCCAGAAGCAAAAGAAAGCTAAAGCATCGTTTCTGTTTTCACCCCTAGTGCATGGCACACAATGGCGCGGGGAATCGTCGCTTCTCATTTCAGCCCCTCACCTCCAGATGAAGCATGTGGATGCGGCAATTTTCAACACCGAGTATACACCGACTGATACAAAGCCTATGAAGCTATTGAATCGTGCGAAAACAAGTGCTAATCCCACGGCCTATTATCACGACCGCCGTTCGCATTATAGCTCGAGTCTTGTGCTTTAAATAAATTTTCACTTCCGAGTGTCCACGCGGTGCCGAGTGAAATGTGTCCATTCATCGGGCCACACGTGCACGACATTAAACTGCGCTGAGACCAAATCCTATCGATTCATCAACCAGATTAATTCGGCGCTGATGAAGAAAGTATCGTGTAATTGAAACGATCACTGTCAGTATCGAATTTAAATTTTATTTACATAATACGTTTGTGCAATCTATACCGTTATCATACTCTGAAGATAGAATCTCTGTCAGATATCATTAATCTATCCTAGCCAATCGCTCAAATTTCGACACGCAGTAATTTTCTAAATTACACTCGATTGTTAAAAAATGACGCTCTAAGGTTGCTGCTCCGACTTTGAGGATATTTTCGAACGTATTCATCGCAAGCGTAAACTCTTACGAGCTCGATAAATTTCGACCAAAGCTTTTGAAATAGCCCCTCGGGCATAGCGCATGACAAATCATATAAACGGCAAAGACGTGAGCCTACAGGACGAACTGACATTTTCACTTCTGAAAAATTTCTGCCCGATGATTTGTGTCGATGTTTATTCGTTTTCACTCGAAAAAACGATCCATCTTGTAGCATTGAAAAGTCTTAAAATGTAATCGTATCTAGCGAGGCAAACATTATAAGTCAATAGAAAAATACAAGTGTTAGAAGAGATGAAAAAAATATGCAGAAGATGCGCATCTTATCTCTCGAACTTTGACTCTTGGCTTGCGTAGACGAGGTCGGTGTATGATCTGGACAAGTACAAAGTGTTTGGTCGAGCTACACAAGAGGCGAATGTTAATCCTTGCATACGATCGAATGCGTTGCTCATGCTGCACGCGCATAATGTACAGCGGGACCAGAAAGTCGAAAAGTTGGCGGGCAGCGCGGCGCCGTGTGCCAAAAGACTCCGCCCCTCTGTCTCTCTCGCGAGCGAACTCGCAAAAATGATCGACTGCGGACCGTACGGAGTTTATAAAGAAAATTGCCTCGTCCGAGCTTTGTAATAATCCACTACTCAACGAAGCGTTGCAATCTTCGACGCTCGTGTGCAGTGGGCTCGATTTAAAATTCCTCGGTGTGAGTGCACGCGCGCCAGAATCGTAAGCATAAGTACACGAGAGGCAGCAGCGACTTATTACGCGTCTGGAATATTTGATAAGTCCGCGAGTATACATCGACTGCTCGGCCAGTGCAGCGTGGCATGTAATGGAAGATTCGAACGCGAGATCGGACCGGCAAAGTGAGAGGAAGTCGGCGAGCAACGCCGAAACGCCAAGAAGGCTACAGAAAGACTCGATACAAACTTGCTACGCGTAAGAATTTCAAATTGCGCGGTGGACGAGCATCGCATTAGATCAGCTCGGTAAAAATTTCAGTAATTTCCACGAGTGCAAGTATTTCGTACTCGATCGTACAACATCGTTTTCTCCGAGCTATCCTATTTATTATAAAGCATTCGAGCTCTCGGACTTGCAAAGATATTCGGTCTTCCTGCGAGTATACGCTCGGCAAAAAAAAACTCAATCTTGCACGCATGAAATATATCTACTTTTCCCTTCGGTTAAAGCTGCTGAAAGGCTCGAATCGCGGATGCTACAAAAGAGCAAACGACATCGGAGCAATATATCGAGTGCGCAGCAGCGACCAAAGGGATCTTAGGAGAGGAGCAAGGAGAGCTCGGGGAAGGAACCGCGAGTGAATGCGACGAGTAACACAAAAGCCCCTGCGTTACAGGACTCCTATTCTGTGCGCATACAAATACACACACACACACACATCGATGTATGCGAGAGCTCAGACGAACGGCATCCTTACAGGAAACGTAGGTGCTCGTGGCGCGTATAATAATGGACGACTTTTTGTTCGGTGAGTTTACATGTATATATGTATGTTAGTCGTGTGCGCGCGACATTCGCGAAAATAAAGGAGCAATTTAGTTTCCGGCTTGCGCACGAGTTGTGCGATCGCGCGACACAATGTTTCCTTTTGTTTTTCAATTAGGAGCAGCGCAGAGAGTGCTCGAACCGCATTTGACACGGATTCGTCCTTCTCGGTCTTAGCAGGCAGTGCGCAAAAGCTGCTTTGCGAGCCCGGCATATGTATATGACGGATGCTTTATTTTACGAGCTTGTTTGCGCAGTTAACATTTGTATATTATTATACGATCAGAAGCCCCCATATCAGCGCACGTCGTTCGAACATTTCTACCGACAGTTAAGCGATTGGTCATAAAATTTATATCGAATGCCGATAAATAAAAAGTATCATTATCGCGAGAAAATTCGGCACCCTCATCCAGTCAATTTCTCAACGTTCGATCGACGCTGAGCTGGACACACGATGTCAACTTTTGTACTTGTATTAGACGAGGGGAAAAAAACGCCAAGATGGTGCGCAAGCTGCGTTTGCTTCTCGATATATATTATTGTGTATTAAAACTCGCGCGTCTATTTTATACTTCCCTGCGAGCATCGTGCATAGAATCGTTATGACGCGCAGGAGATGAACAATGAGACGGCCAGCCGAGAGAAGCCGAACGACGAACGAGAGAGAAAGAGAGAAGCAACAGAAAAGCAGCTGCTTTCTGCAGTCTTTATGGCAAAGCACACATATATGCGCTCAAAAGATCCTATACACACTCGCACACTTAGGTATTGTACGTACGCGAAGGAAGCACACGCACGTGTCTGACACATGTTGCCCATACGAGACCGAGTAACAAGTAGCATGGGCTGAGGGAAGGATCCTGCCTCGAAATCTCTGTACACGAGTTCACTCTTACTGGCATGATTTTCTTCAACGCGAGCAACATAGGAGCATGATTTAACCAAATCAATCGTCGTTATAATTGGGACATGATAAGGACGACTCTCAAATCAACAAGTGCCCTATAATTTACTCCAACGAGCAGCTACTAAACTTCATCTCTAATAATTTCATCCAATTAAGCAATTGTCACCTCCGATCGAATCGATCGATGTGTGCTAGGTTATTATTCGACGAACGATTTGTATACACGCATCAAAGAACTGACAACAGAAAAGATCAGTTATCTTCGTCACAGAAATTCCGCTTATGCAGATTTCTAGATTATCAGATTTGACGAGATAGCTGCTTTCGTACGAAAAGGAAAAGATACGATGAGTCAAGGGTCTAGCAATGATTTTTGCACTCTAAATATTTACAGCGGTGCAGGCTTAAATAGAGCTAAGAATAAGCCCAGCGAGAAATAAGGCAGATGTTCTTTGTGTATAAACGTGTATGTGTGCAATAACCGGCGACGAAGAAAAAAACCAAAGTGCAAATACTATATGAGATATGCATGCATTTGTGCGTGTGTGTGTGTGTGTGCTAAATTTTGGCGGCAAAGAGAAAAAAGAAGATGAGAGAAAGAGAGAATAGGAGAATGAGAACGTCGGAGAGAGGTACTAATCGAGCGTGTGCACGAATAATATGCGCGTTAGACACACAGAAGCAGTGGTCGTACAGCATCGCGCACAGGACCATATAATTCGTGAATAGTGCTGTGGCTCGCAAAACGTCTGAATTGGCGTCGCGGCGCCGCTGCATGCATAAATCGTCGTTCCTCTCAAAATATTTTCTATTTTTTTAGCCTTGGCTCGAGCTTCCGACCGCGTAATTGAATTTGAAAATTTAAAGAAAATGCATCTTCAGGCAAGAAAGTGCACATAAAAATGGTTCATTTCCACGGAAGCAACTACTAGAGCAATACACAAGTGAAAATGAAAAAGGATCATGGAGACGCTCGAAGGATTCGTATGTGACGCGCGCAAAGCCAAATGCAGCTCATGGTATACGAAACCAAGGCGACCATCTGCCTTTTCTGTCAATCTGTCGCCTTTTTTTCCTAGTATCTTACATCACGTCTTGTGGTAGTCGCAGCTCAACACAACACAGTTATAAACAACACGAGCTCTCTCTCTCTCTATATATATAGAGATATTCTTGTAGTATACACGTGCAGATGCGTTACGCGTGCGAGCGTCTATATACTTACTTGCAAGCAGATGCAACTCATCTGCCTCATATTTATAGAGTTTCTTTATTTAAACTACCAACGAGTTATCTCTTTCTTTTTCCTCTTATTTTTCGAAAAATGCTCGCTCGATTGTATTATAGAAAA